ATCTTAAAAAAAAAAAAATATATATATATATGCCAGGATAGGGGACTCCCTGGTAGTACAAGGGGTTAAAGCGCACCAGTATGGGGCCCTCCCATACTGGGCACAGTGGGTTAAAGCACAGAACTAAGAAACTACTGCTACTTCAGCATGAGTTCGATCCCTACCCACCCTAGAGGTGACCCACATGGCGCAGCAGACCTCTCCTGACCTGGTGCTGCTTCCCTCAGCAGTGTCCTTCCTCCATCTGCCTATTCTACTCCCCACTGTCTCTGGTGAATCCTCTCCCCGCCCCTGTACCTCTGGCCTGTACCCCAGTTCTGTATAAATCTATAAAATAAATAAATAAATAAAAGCACTACTATGAAGCTATCCACAGAACAAATTTGATCCCAGACAAGGGAGATTACCCACATGGTACAGCAGACCTCTTTTGTTTTGACCATTTCCCTGAGCAGTGTTTTTCAGTCAGTCTGCCTCTTCTATTCCCCACTCTATCGCGGTGAATTTTCTCACTTTCTTCCTTTCTCCCACCTCACGCCTACACCCCATCTCTTGTATTGCATGAAGAAATAAACCTTTAAACAAAAATGTACCAAGATTATTGAAGTATAATTTACTGCTGTAGGGAAATACACAATTTTCTAACTAACTGTGTTTTGACAAATGCATGTAGTTATGTAGATGCCACCATCAGGTAATAGACCATTTCCACCATCCAAAAAATTCCTGTGTTGCTCTCCTCCCCCTATTCCAAGCCCCTGACTAACTTTCTGTCCCAGTTGTTTACACTGTTTTCCTATGGTGTTTATCAGCATCACTATCTGGAATGAAATGAACTCTTAAGTTATAATTTAGAACTATTCTACACTTTTAAAGGTGGATCATTTGTGTTATTGGGTATAGTGATAGATTCTTCCTTTTTTATTGCTGAAAGGTATTCTATTCTATAGTTATACCAAGGTTTTATCAAAGGACCAGCTGATGCACAACGTGTTATCTCTAGTTTCTGATCAAAATGAGTTATTATGACCACAGCCACTATGGACATTCATTTGATAGCTAATATTTAATTGGACACAGCTTAGACATGGAACTTTGTGATGTGTGAAAACAGTGAGAAGATTCCTGCACTAATTTTGTATCCAGTCAATTAATTGTATACAAGTTATTATTGAGTGAACAGTTAACCTCTCTGTTCTTTTATAAAATATGCATGATATAGCACTATTTCAGCTTTTAAACTAGCATAATTTTATGCTGCATAATATGGTATTCTTGAGTTCTCTAAGAAGAAATAAGAGGTCACAAATCCATTGTTATAAACTTTATAATATTAAATTATATGAAACCAGCATATATAATATTTAAAATTAGGGGTCATTTGTATCTAAGTTCAATCATAAATGGTTTGATAATATAATTTGCCTACTATATTTTAAAGGTCATCATGACAGCTTTCTATTAACTATGAAATCTAATTTCTTTTACATTAGAACTTATTTTGCTATTTCTACTAGATAAAACATTTGGTAAGTATTTTCTTTCAAAATATTTTAACCTTCACACCTATCTCTTCTTTATTTAGATGGGTCTGGGAAAAACAATCCAGGCAATTGCCGTTGCTTATTTCTATAAGGAGGAATGGCCTCTTTTGATAGTGGTCCCGTCATCACTGAGGTACCCTTGGACAGAGGAAATAGAGAAATGGTTACCAGAATTAGGTCCACAAGAAATCAGTGTCATTCAGAATAAGACTGATGTTGGGTAAGAACAACTTTTTAATCTTTGAACTTAAAAAAAGACTTTCTGTATATAGTTACTATATATATCAATGCTTGGAATGAATTAGCACTTACTTAATCATAATTTCCAATTAAAAGAGTAGTAGGGAAAATTTTGTTTTGCATTTTAAAATTGAATTGTTTATCTAAACCCTAACACCACAGTTAATGTTTTATGTTTTTAAATATGAATTGTTTATCTAAACCCCAACACCATAGTTGATGTTTTAAGTTTTTAAAATATAGCATACTATTCACATAATGAAAACTATGTATACTTTTGAAGATAATGTAAAGTACCTACTTTTCACATACCTTAAATGTACTTAACACTACTATAGGGTTAAAAAATAAATTTTGCAGTTTTTTAATGAGTTAATTGAAGCTTATAAACTTTTATTATCAACAAGTATGGTAGAATTTTGCTTCTTTTTGTTACTTTTCAAGTTTCATATATATCTCAGTTATGTTAACCAACTTTGCTTTTGTTATTTATATTTTAATATTTTCTATATCAATAACACTTGCATTATTTTTTATTTGACATACTCAAAATCAATTATTGTGTAGTCCCTGTTTTTTCTCCTTTTATTTTCTAGCCATTGGAATAAGTTAATCAGTTTGAATATTGAAAACTTAATACATTTTCTAGTAAATCATACAAAGTATAATATTTCCAGTTTCAAAATTACTAATTACTGAGCTCCAGGTACAAAGCAACCTATGTACTTGAAATGTGTCTTTAAATACTGAAAATAATTTCTGAGCCTAAATAAAAAGCAGTACATCTGCTTGATATATATGTCTATAAATACATAGTATTTTTATTGTGTTATTGTATTCGGTTGTATTCTCTAAGATTGATCAGATTTAAGAGATTATTAGAGTCTAAATTATTATAATCTGATAAGGAATATTAGTGATGTATGAATTATATTAATAGTTCAAAAGATAAGGAATCATTTTATCCCAGTGTTTTCTGTGTGAGCTCCAGCCTCTTCTCTGACCTCAGCATTCTAGGGCTAAGGACATTTTTGCTGTAACAGTGACATGGGGACCCTCACTGGTAGTGTAGTAGGTTAAAGCACAGCACTATGAACTATCCACTATAGCACACGTTCAGTCCCCAGCGAGAGACGTGACCCACTTGGCATAGCAGACCTCTTCTATCTCACTTCTGCTCCCCTCAGCAGTGCATTTCAGTAGATCTACCTGTTCTCTCCACTCTGTCTCTGGTGAATCCTCTCACCCTCCACATTTCTGGCCTGTACCCTAGTTCCATATGAATAAATAAATAAATCTTTAAAAAAAAAAAAAGATCATGGTGCAGTTTCTTGCACTCTTCTCCTTTTAGAGTTATTGGGGGAAGCAGTACAACACCAAGTGAAGTAAAGATCTATAATTGCTCAACTTGTGTTGCTTTGGAACCAAGTTGGTCCCAGAATCTAATGGCATTTAAGCTATGAGGATTGAGAGCTTTGAGGTCAGGGAAAAATTACCAGTGTTTATGTTACTTAATTGAGGTATAATTGCTTTTTGGTTCAGTTTACAAAGCAATAAACCATGAAATGTTAAATGTTACATTTTATAATAAAATTTGTATATATTCCATGTTCATTCCTAAGTTACCCTAACCCCAAGCATTACCTAACTTAAACTCAGTTTTATCCTTAAAATAAGTTAGAAAACAAATTTTATCTTCAGCTGGATCTTCCTTCAATAGGGAAAGCTTTTAGACTTTGACCCTGTACTTGAATGTAAGTAGTTTAAAGCTTTAAATGGCAACTAGTATTACTGCTACTCTGACTAAAGCTTTTCCATCATCTTTCTCACCACCTTTTAAAAGCTACTAATAGCTTTCCTGTGCCTGAGTCTTGCCCAAGGAATCTGAAATCCTTGATGTTTATTTAGTCATTCATTCACTCATACAGTTAAATAATATCTGAATTGTTTCCCATGTCAGAAATAAACTCTCTTCTTACGTTCTGCTTATCATGTTTCCCTTGATAGTCTTTGTTCCACTCAAAAGAACATTTTCCAAAGAAATTCACATTTGTTTTTTCTTCTCTTTCAGGTTTACTGATAGAAATGTAACTATTTTTGGATTATTCTAAGATTTGTTGTTAATCATGGTAGTTAAAAGAAATGTACAAAACATGGTTTTCTTCATGGAATTTTGCTAAAAATCTGGAACTTGTTTTTTGCCTTTTCATTTTTTTTTTAAAAGTTATTCTCAGTTAATTGTTTTAGATTTCTGTGTCTTTTTTTTTCTCTTTGAATAGTATGGAAAGCAGGGATCTTAGGAATCTTACGAAAGATTTTAGGCTTTCTTCCTCCTGCTTCACAATAGAATTACTTTAAAAAATATGCCACGATGGGCCCTCCCTGGTGGCACAGCGGGTTAATGCACTGCAAAAGAAGCCTAAGCCACTTCCACACAAGTTGGATCCTTGCCTGCCCCGGAGGATGGCATGGCAGACCTCTCCTGACCCTCCCGCTGCTCCCCTCAGCAGAGTACTTCATCGATCCGCCTGTTCTGCTCCCCACTCTGTCCCTGGTGAATCCTCTCACCCTCCGCATCTCTGGCCTGTACCCCAGCTCTGTATGAATAAATAAATAAAATCTTAAAAAAAAAATATATATATATATGCCAGGATAGGGGACTCCCTGGTAGTACAAGGGGTTAAAGCGCACCAGTATGGGGCCCTCCCATACTGGGCACAGTGGGTTAAAGCACAGAACTAAGAAACTACTGCTACTTCAGCATGAGTTCGATCCCTACCCACCCTAGAGGTGACCCACATGGCGCAGCAGACCTCTCCTGACCTGGTGCTGCTTCCCTCAGCAGTGTCCTTCCTCCATCTGCCTATTCTACTCCCCACTGTCTCTGGTGAATCCTCTCCCCGCCCCTGTACCTCTGGCCTGTACCCCAGTTCTGTATAAATCTATAAAATAAATAAATAAATAAAAGCACTACTATGAAGCTATCCACAGAACAAATTTGATCCCAGACAAGGGAGATTACCCACATGGTACAGCAGACCTCTTTTGTTTTGACCATTTCCCTGAGCAGTGTTTTTCAGTCAGTCTGCCTCTTCTATTCCCCACTCTATCGCGGTGAATTTTCTCACTTTCTTCCTTTCTCCCACCTCACGCCTACACCCCATCTCTTGTATTGCATGAAGAAATAAACCTTTAAACAAAAATGTACCAAGATTATTGAAGTATAATTTACTGCTGTAGGGAAATACACAATTTTCTAACTAACTGTGTTTTGACAAATGCATGTAGTTATGTAGATGCCACCATCAGGTAATAGACCATTTCCACCATCCAAAAAATTCCTGTGTTGCTCTCCTCCCCCTATTCCAAGCCCCTGACTAACTTTCTGTCCCAGTTGTTTACACTGTTTTCCTATGGTGTTTATCAGCATCACTATCTGGAATGAAATGAACTCTTAAGTTATAATTTAGAACTATTCTACACTTTTAAAGGTGGATCATTTGTGTTATTGGGTATAGTGATAGATTCTTCCTTTTTTATTGCTGAAAGGTATTCTATTCTATAGTTATACCAAGGTTTTATCAAAGGACCAGCTGATGCACAACGTGTTATCTCTAGTTTCTGATCAAAATGAGTTATTATGACCACAGCCACTATGGACATTCATTTGATAGCTAATATTTAATTGGACACAGCTTAGACATGGAACTTTGTGATGTGTGAAAACAGTGAGAAGATTCCTGCACTAATTTTGTATCCAGTCAATTAATTGTATACAAGTTATTATTGAGTGAACAGTTAACCTCTCTGTTCTTTTATAAAATATGCATGATATAGCACTATTTCAGCTTTTAAACTAGCATAATTTTATGCTGCATAATATGGTATTCTTGAGTTCTCTAAGAAGAAATAAGAGGTCACAAATCCATTGTTATAAACTTTATAATATTAAATTATATGAAACCAGCATATATAATATTTAAAATTAGGGGTCATTTGTATCTAAGTTCAATCATAAATGGTTTGATAATATAATTTGCCTACTATATTTTAAAGGTCATCATGACAGCTTTCTATTAACTATGAAATCTAATTTCTTTTACATTAGAACTTATTTTGCTATTTCTACTAGATAAAACATTTGGTAAGTATTTTCTTTCAAAATATTTTAACCTTCACACCTATCTCTTCTTTATTTAGATGGGTCTGGGAAAAACAATCCAGGCAATTGCCGTTGCTTATTTCTATAAGGAGGAATGGCCTCTTTTGATAGTGGTCCCGTCATCACTGAGGTACCCTTGGACAGAGGAAATAGAGAAATGGTTACCAGAATTAGGTCCACAAGAAATCAGTGTCATTCAGAATAAGACTGATGTTGGGTAAGAACAACTTTTTAATCTTTGAACTTAAAAAAAGACTTTCTGTATATAGTTACTATATATATCAATGCTTGGAATGAATTAGCACTTACTTAATCATAATTTCCAATTAAAAGAGTAGTAGGGAAAATTTTGTTTTGCATTTTAAAATTGAATTGTTTATCTAAACCCTAACACCACAGTTAATGTTTTATGTTTTTAAATATGAATTGTTTATCTAAACCCCAACACCATAGTTGATGTTTTAAGTTTTTAAAATATAGCATACTATTCACATAATGAAAACTATGTATACTTTTGAAGATAATGTAAAGTACCTACTTTTCACATACCTTAAATGTACTTAACACTACTATAGGGTTAAAAAATAAATTTTGCAGTTTTTTAATGAGTTAATTGAAGCTTATAAACTTTTATTATCAACAAGTATGGTAGAATTTTGCTTCTTTTTGTTACTTTTCAAGTTTCATATATATCTCAGTTATGTTAACCAACTTTGCTTTTGTTATTTATATTTTAATATTTTCTATATCAATAACACTTGCATTATTTTTTATTTGACATACTCAAAATCAATTATTGTGTAGTCCCTGTTTTTTCTCCTTTTATTTTCTAGCCATTGGAATAAGTTAATCAGTTTGAATATTGAAAACTTAATACATTTTCTAGTAAATCATACAAAGTATAATATTTCCAGTTTCAAAATTACTAATTACTGAGCTCCAGGTACAAAGCAACCTATGTACTTGAAATGTGTCTTTAAATACTGAAAATAATTTCTGAGCCTAAATAAAAAGCAGTACATCTGCTTGATATATATGTCTATAAATACATAGTATTTTTATTGTGTTATTGTATTCGGTTGTATTCTCTAAGATTGATCAGATTTAAGAGATTATTAGAGTCTAAATTATTATAATCTGATAAGGAATATTAGTGATGTATGAATTATATTAATAGTTCAAAAGATAAGGAATCATTTTATCCCAGTGTTTTCTGTGTGAGCTCCAGCCTCTTCTCTGACCTCAGCATTCTAGGGCTAAGGACATTTTTGCTGTAACAGTGACATGGGGACCCTCACTGGTAGTGTAGTAGGTTAAAGCACAGCACTATGAACTATCCACTATAGCACACGTTCAGTCCCCAGCGAGAGACGTGACCCACTTGGCATAGCAGACCTCTTCTATCTCACTTCTGCTCCCCTCAGCAGTGCATTTCAGTAGATCTACCTGTTCTCTCCACTCTGTCTCTGGTGAATCCTCTTACGCCCCTACACCTCTGGCCTGTCCCCCAGTTCTTGTATGCATAAATAATTAAATCTTAAAAAAAAAAAAAAAGAACCCAAACATGGGCTCTACTCACCATTGATGAGGTGTTCAGAAATGTGAGATGCCCTGCAGTATATGCTATAGTTTTGAAGTACCGAGTATTATTTTGCTCAAAATCTCAACAGCACCTAGGCTGTGAAACCTTACTTTGTTTATGGGAAGACAGATGAATACTCATAATTATTTTAGTATCTACATTTTCCACAATCTTAGGTGCTTAGCAAGAAAGTGAATGTTCTTATCCTATTAAAATATGGCATACTGTGTGTCTTCCAATGACCATTTAAGCAAAACAAAATTGCTTAATTTTAATTGGGATTCTGGTTTTTTGTTTTCATTTCACTGTGAAATCTTAGTAGAAAGTGGGTTTCATTTATATTCCTATTACCTTAATTTCCCCCTTTTTCTTCTTTCTTCGCTGAGCTTGTCCCTAAAGAGTTGTATTGTTTATGATAAATTGGTCATGGAAATATTTTAAAAGTACATGAATTTTATTTTCTAGGGGAATATCGACCAGCAAAGTGACAATTCTGGGTTATGGTCTTTTAACCACAGATGCGGAGACTTTGATAAATGCTCTGAATAATCAGAACTTCAAAGTAGTTATAGTGGATGAATCACACTACATGAAGTCTAGAAATGCAGCCCGCAGCAAGATTTTATTGCCAATAGTGCAGAAAGCCAAACGAGCCATTTTACTTACAGGAACTCCAGCTTTGGGAAGACCTGAAGAGGTACTAAAATTTTTAATATGATCTTTAGAATAATGTGAAAAACAAAATTACCTGTTTTACAATTTTAATTTTTAAGTTGATGCCTGCCTCAAATGTCAGAATATATTGTGAATTTCTAAGTAGCTTTAAATAATTACCTATGTCTTTTGTTAGGGTTTTTTTTTTTTTTCTATTAACATATGAACCTTTGCCATGCTTGAGCATGTATATGAGAAATAGTGTTTGGTTTTTGTTATTAATAGAAGAAGCAATAGAGGAGTTTAATAATAATATGTATGCCTCCTGTACACATAGTTATATATTGTAGTTAGAGCTACTTTATAGGCTTTTATACTGTATTACATAATGTCTTATGTTTTTCTTTCACTTTAAGAGCCATGTTTGCTAAGATAGAGAGAAACTAGAATTTATATATAGAACAGATAGAACAAATGGATAGAAAATGGATGAAAGCATTTGTTATCCATTTTGATTTTACTACTCTAAGACGCAAAGGGGATATGGAGTTATTAGAGGGTTGAGAAAAATAAATAGATGAAACACTTATGAATTTTAAGGTTTAGCATAACCTAGGGAAATGTCTGTTAAGGAACACTGTGTCTGAAAAAAATAGGGACTAGTCTTATAGACTTACTGTGAAAATTAAAGGAAATATCACCTTAAAAATACTTTGCCCAGTGTCCTGACACAAAGATACCATTCGACTTTGTAGTCATTGTTACTATTAGTTTTTAAGCTAAACCTGGGAGACAGCTACGTGTCACATCTCTGCTAGCATTACTAGGGCTTTGCATTTGAATTCCACCCTGAAAATATTCTGAGACACACATAACCATATGTAGACAGTAATGGTAAAATGCTTGGTTTTACCTTGTATGTTAGTTTTGTTATTGGCCATTGGAAGTTGGGAGTGGACCCCAGATAATTATAATGGTTATTATACCTTTATAAAAAATTGTGAAATGTCTCATTTTATCAAAGAGAGTATGTAGAGGAAGATCATAGTAAAGTGAGTATTTGTCTAGTGTTTATCTCCCATAAAAGAGAGAGCACTGAGAATAAAAATAGAGGCTCTTATGTCCCACTATGATTACATACCAGTATTTTCACTCCTGACCCAGGATAACTACTGTTCAAAGCAAGAGTGAATCTGGTTTTGTGAAAACCTGATAATATACAACTTGGAGGTGTGGAACTCTACGAAAAAGTAAATAAAATTACAAATTCTAGATTAGAAACTTTGAAGCTGGGAAGAGTGAGTCCATGAAGTTTTTCTTCTTCAAGATTGATTTGGATATTCAGGGTCACTTTATATATATATGAGGATTTTGTTTTTTTTTGTAGAGCTTGGCAGTTTTTACGAAGTTTGGATTTTCATCAAGTTTGGATTTTCATACATAATAATACACTGATTCTCTATATTACTTTGCTGTTTATTGGCTTCTTAAGTCTCCAACTCTATCAATTTGGGACATCTTTACATTTATTTATGTCTTTGACTATTTTCCAACAGTATTTCTTAGTTATCAAAGTATGTCTGAATACTGTTTTTACAAATATTTTATTCTTTTTGATGTTACTTTCAATGGGATTGTTTTCTTAATTTTACTTACACATTGTTCATTCCAAGTGTATGGAAATACAGTTGATTTTGTATCCTGCAATTGTGCTAAATTTATTTATTAGTTCTAATAATTTCTTAGTAAATTCTTTAGAATTTTTCATATTCAAAACCATGTTATGTATGAATATGCACCTTACACTTACAGAAATGTAGGTGGCTAGATGGATGGATAGATAGAGAATTATATAAATCCCAGGGATCATTAAAAGTCAGTATGTATAGGGCCCTCCCTGGCGGTGTAGCGAGTTAAAGCACTGCACTAAGAAGCTTAACCCACTTTCTCATGAGTTCGATCCCCGCTTGCCCTGGAGGAGATCCACATGGCGTGGCAGACCTCTCCTGATCTGCCCACTACTCCCCTCAGCAGTGTACTTCGTCGATCTGCCTGTTCTGCTCCCCACTCTGTCCCTGGTGAATCCTCTCACCCTCTACATCTCTGACCTGTACCACAGTTCTGTATGAATAAATAAAATAAATCTTTTTTTAAAAAAAGTCAATATGGGCACTCCCTGGTGGTGCAGCGGGTTAAAGCACAGCACTAAGAAGCTAAAGCCACTTCTGCATGAGTTCGATTCCCGCCTGCCCCGGAGGTGACCACATGGCGCGGCAGACCTCTCCTGACCCGCCCGCTGCTCCCCTCAGCAGTGTACTTCGTTGATCTGCCTGTTCTGCTCCCCACTCTGTCTCTGGTGAATCCTCTCACCCTCGGCATCTCTGGCCTGTATCCCAGTTCTGTATGCACTAATAAATAAATCTTAAAAAAAAAAAAAAGTCAGTATGTGTATATTACATTAAATTCACTGAAAGAGAATGTATATACATGCTTATGTAGACAGACAAAACATATGAAAGTATACTGACAAAAAAGAAAACAGTTACCCCTGAAGAATAGGAAGGGAGGCACAATGAAGAAAAGGTAGATTTTCTCTTTTTACCTTTTACTATTTTTCAAACTGGCTTATAATAGTAATAATTTATTTGAAAATACTGCAACATGTTAAGAATACTTGTATTGTCACAGCTTTTCATGCAGATTGAAGCTCTTTTTCCACAAAAATTTGGAACATGGACTGACTATGCCAAAAGATATTGCAATGCACGTATCAGGTATGACCCACTATTTCCTATAAGCTCTAATCCTCACCTGTTTACCATCGCTCATCTTTTTTCCCCAATGTTTATGTGTTTTCTGTTTTGCTTTCTATAATTTCCTCAATTAACTCTATGTGGGTGTGGTGTTCTGGAGCTCTTTAAAGGACTTTAGAGCACAGAGGTAGAAAAAAGTTCTTCCAAAATGTTAGCATGACAGCAGTTTACCATTGACATCAAAATTAGATAAGATAGTACTCCCCAAAAAAGGAAATCCAGGACATTTTCTACTACAAATTATAAATGAGAGAAAAGCTCAATACTAATATTTTTTTAAAAAAATCATTTAAAGTGCCTCCTATAGAAACAATATGCAAATGGAATTCATATCAGGAATATAAGCATAGTTTAATATTATGAAATGAACCAGTGTAATTAACCAGGTTAATGAAAGAAGGACTTCATTTCACCATCTCCATATTTACTGCAAAATGATAAACCTGCATCCATCTTTCATTATGATTTTCAGTTCTTTTAATCTTTATTATTTATTTAATATTTAAGACATCCTGGTTTATTTTTTCACAGTATAGGATTTCTTTCGTCAGGTGTAGTCACCAGAGTATTCCCACCACCAGAGCACCCACAGTCCTCCACCACACTCCCTGTGCACTCGCCTTCTCTACTCCTCTTCGCCCTCTCCCCTCCTGATGGCCTCAGATATACGATGATTATAATTTTTAAAAGAAACTCAAGGATTATGTGTGTGTATTTATATGCATATATTCACATACAATGTATATTTGGATCTTAAACCCAAAGCCATCGTCATATGCAACAGCAAAATTTAGAAAAGTGTGTTCATGTCACCTTGATCAGTATTAGGTATTAGAGGTATAGACAATTTAATTTTTTAAAATAATATATTTTCCAGTTTTGAATATTTTTTACATCATTTCTCATCTTTGTACAATGTGTGCTCTCTCATCCCATTTATAGTCCCCATAAAATTTCCACCACCAACTCATCCCTGCACCATCACCATTAGCCCCTTGTGCTCTTCACACCCCTGTTTTGATCCTATTCCCCTCCCCCTTCCTACAGAATGTGTCTGTTTTACAGTTGCCTGTTGATATTGATATTTAGTTTATTATAAGTATTGCTTTTTTTTTTTTTCACTCTTAGGAGGAATATAGAGGTTCCAAATAAGGGGTCAGGGAAAAAAATACTTCAATTTTTGGAAGAAAAATAATAGATAAAACTGGAAACAGAAAAGCAACATTGTCATTATGTACAGGTGATATTATTTATTTGACCCCAGAGGATGAGCTGAAAGATGTTCAAAACAAAATTACTAGTAAAAAGTCATTTATTTATCTTTCTTTACAGAAATAACTGTTTTAAGATAGAATACTAAATAGGCATGATGTTAGACTTGTTGGGAAGTCAATAATTGCAGCTGTTGCAAACTTTAAATGCCAAAAGCTTACCTACAGAAAACAAACATTAACTGGATTCATGTTTTGGGTACTAGAAAAACCTTGGTGGTCAGAAAGCATTTCTCTCTCTTTTTTTTTTTTCTTATTGGAAATTCATGAAAACAAGAATGAATACCTGTCCCTTTCTTGCTTATCAATACAAATGTGGTTTCAAAGAAAACTTGATCTTCATGAAGAATCTTGTTTGGAACAGTTATATTGTTTTTCTGTTTTCTAGGGAAAACCAGTTCAAAATTATTGTGTTTCTCAGAAGACATTCTCTTGCACATTGCATTTTGAAAGCTTGATGTTATTCCTCTACTTCTTTACCGTGAAAGCACTGTGATTCCTTAAAATTTGATTCAGAAAAAGGCACTTCCTGACATTTTGAGTTAGTCTGGGGAATGTTACTTTTTTTTTTCCCATGATGGTTTGATTTTATGAAGATGTCATTTTCACACTATAATTTTTCAGAACGAAATTATGGTTAGTTATTCAGTTCTAAACCATACTTTATATTTGAAATGTCATGAATGCATTAAAAATAAAATTAAATGAAACCAGCAAAATGTAAGTGCTTCTATAAAGTTTTTTAGATATGTAAGTGATGGCAAACAGAAATATACTAAGGTAAATATGGTTTGGAAATGAGAAGTGTGGTTATAGGTAACCACTTAATCTGGTTTGATTTGAGAAGCAAAGAGAGACAGTATTACTCAACCAGAACATCCCATATCCAAAATCCTTTACATCATTCACTCTACTGGATTATATTTAGAGGAAGTTATAAATACAAATATGATTTGGAAAAGGCAGCATATTTCGATGTCAACCAGTAGCACATTAGATCACTGTCATTTGAGAGGCACTGGTGAGATTAAATCACTTGCCCTTTGTCTGATTTCCTCTTACATTTGCCCCCCATTTTTTCTGTCAGTAGGAAGACCTAGAGAATGGCAACTTTAATACATGTTCTTTGGGTAGTGAAGCAGTCAGCATAATTGACTAAAGGAAGAGGACTGTGGGTTCATTAGTTATGGGAGAGGTATGGATGGTGATCACACCTGAGAGGAGAAATCCTATACTATCAAAAAATTAACAAGAATGTCAAATAATTGTACTTAATTAAAATATGTGCTTTTAAATAATTATGCACTTAATTAAAAAAAATAACATCACATTCTACAGTGATACTGACTGTTAAATATAGCCAGATACCTAGGGATCCTTAGTAGTCCTTGTTTAAATTTCCCTGTTGTTGTTTATTTGAAAACAGACTGTAAGAAGAGCCACCACTGAGATCCTTTAAAAATTAATTAATTAGAATCCTCCCTGATGGCGCAGCAGGTTAAAGTGCAGCGCTATGAAAAGAGCTGCAGCCACTACAGCACAAAGTCAATCCCTAGCTAGGGAGGTGACCTACTTGGTGCAGTAGATCTCTCCTTTCTCACCGCTGCTCCCCTCAGCTGTGTATTTTAGTCAGTCTGCCTGTTCTGCTCCCAACTCTGTATCTGGTGAATCCTCGCACCTCCCATACCTCTGGCCTGTAACCTACTTCTTGTATGCATAAATAAATAAATCTTTTAAAAAACTAATTAATCTTTAAAAAGTATACTGCCAAAAAAAGAGTTCATATATATAGGAAAAGAGAATATAGATGATCCAGTTAAATATACTGTTTTCAGCTTTCAGATGGTATTTTACAGATATGTTTGTCCTCTCTGATGTCATACTTAAAGGTTAAAAATATTCTTGAACATCTTCATAGTAATTTGTCAGACTTTCATCACTGCTGATATTGTATGCCAGTTCTACCTTATGGAGAAAAGTTGTGTAAATCTTTACAAGTGGAAAAAGTGCTGGATGACAATACATATTAAAATTAGTTGAAGTTATTCTCCAAAAGCATTAATTAATAGGTCATTGGTAGCTTTAAAAAATTTCTTTTATGGAATTTTATGGACTAGGACCTTTAAAGTAGCATGCGAAAAAAGGGATAATTCTACTCCACTCATTGATTAAAGGTTAATATGGAATTAATCCATTCATTCAAAAACTATTTATAGGGTACCTGTCAGATGGCATTCTGTATGTTAAGCATCAAGTGTGCATTAGGAAACAAGACCAAAATTGCCCCAGCCTTCACCGAATTTTTGAGTCAGACACTAACCAGATCATTAAAGTTGTAAATGAGTCTCATAAAAGGAAGTATAGGATGTTATAGTAAGTGAACTAATCAAGTCAGAGCAGAAGAGATATCCCATGAGTGATACTTCTTTTCATTCTAGGTAGAGAAATTCTGTCTCCTAAGAACTAGATTACGAAAGACTGGTATGAATTTAAAGAAATAAAGTTCAGTTTAGTTGGTTATTCTTTAGTTAATGGAAGAGGGTCTCAAGATAACATGGAGTTAAGACAGGTTCATATGATATATATTCTTATACTTCATTGTAATAATGGTAGTAAAAGGCATTGGAGAGTAGCTTTTGTTTCTTAGTTAGCAGTGTTGTGGGAGCTTATGGTAATAAAATATGCATAAAGAAATTTGCCATTTTAACTGTTTTTAATGTGTTCAGTTCAATGATAGTAAGTACATACACTTATGTAAACACCACCAATATCTAACTCCAAAACCTTTTTCATTATCCTATAATGATGTTGTCTACTTCTTGAAATATAATTACCATTCCCCCTTTTCTGGTCCCTACACTGCAAGGTTTTAGAGTAGGAAGGGGACACGCACAATTAGATTTATAAATTCTTTTATATTTTTGGAAAACATTTTCACACAGTCCAAAATTCTAAACCAATAGAGAACTATGTTCCTTTAAAATAATCTCTCGTTACTCTATTTCCCTTTCTTTAGGCGACTGTATGTATTTTTATGTATCTTTTTTTTAATGTTGAAATTTTTTTTTTTATTTTACAAAAGTTTATTTTTACATCATTTTGTACATTTTTTTTCCCCATCTCAATTGTAATCCCTGCGGGTTTCCCATCATCAAGTCACCCTTGTGCCATCACCATAACCCCGTGCATTTCCCTCCACCCCTCCTGGTTTTGATCCCATTCCCCACTCCACTCCCGCAAAATGTCTCTGGTATATGGTTGTTCATTATTTTGTTATTTTCTCTCCTGGTCCATTGTACTCCTGCTATGAGTGAAACCATCCAGTATTTTTCTCTCTCTTTCTGGCTTATCTCGCTAAGCATGATCTTTTCCAGCTCCATCCAAGTTGCTGCAAAAGACATGTGTTTCTCTTTTTGGTTGCTGAGTAATATTCCATTGTGTATATGTACCACATCTTTTTTATCCAGTCATCTACTTTTGGGCATTTGGGCTGCTTCCATGTTTTTCCAATGTAAATAAAGCAGCAATAAACATGGGGCTACAGGTATCTTTTTCAATCAGTGTTTTTGTGTCTTTTGGGTAGATACCTAGGAGTGGAATTGCTGGGTCGTAGGGAAGCTCCAATGTTTAGCAGTTTGAGGAACCTCCAAACAGTTTTCCATAGTGGCTGTACTAGTTTACATTCCCACC